CCGCCAGCGTGTGACACAGGCACAGGGAGAAGACAGCTGCAGCAAAGTCCAGCTTGGGGGACCCAGGGCCTGCTTCCCCCTGGACTCCCCACGAGTCCCAGACAGGAGACCGGGGCGCTGGAGCAATGTGTACGGCGGGGGGCGGGGACGAGGGGCAGGGGGACGACTGAGCCATGGAACCAAACTACCAACCCTGGGTATGATGGAAACCCCGTCATGCCAGCGGATGCGGCAGCCCCCCCACCCCCTAGTTCCAGCTCCTATGCAGGGGTCGTGGCTCCTCGGGGCAGCCGCTGGTGGGCAGGGCCCCATGTGCTGCGTGGGACCACCCCTCGGGCACCGGGCAGGATCCGGCTGGGCATCCCCAGAGCCGGGTGTGCCAGGCCTCGCACGAGGGTGGGGTTGGGATATTCGTGGGGGCTGTGGGTCAGCTGCTGTGTCTGTGCCCAGCCTGCAGGTGTGATCCTCGGGGCATCATCGCGGGCAGCCCCCCCTGTGACCACATCAGTGGAGACTGCTACTGCAAGCGCTTTGTCAGCGGCCGGTACTGCAGCCAGTGCCTGGTGAGTGCCCCGTGCCCGGCCCCTCCCCGGCCCCCGGCGTGACCCATGCGGTGTCTGACCCGGCTCTCCCCACAGCCCGAGTTCTGGGGCCTGAGCAACGACATGGCCGGCTGCCGGCCCTGTGCCTGCGACTTCGGGGGCACCTACAGCAACAGGTAGGCAGGTGCCACGCTGGGCACGGGAACGGTACCATGGCCGGGGTGGGAGGGGGAAGTACCATGGCCGGGGGCGGGGAAGGGGGTGGTGCAATGGCTGGGGGGGGGAGGGGGCGAGTACCAGAGCTGGGGAGGAAGGGGGTGGTACCATGGCTGGGGGGGAAGGGGGCAGTACCATGGCTGCGGGGAGCGGGCACAGTGGGCGGTACCACGGCTGGGGTGTGTGTGGAAGGGGCAGTACTATGGCTGGGGGGGGAAGGGGGCGGTACCACAGCTGGGGGGGAAGGGGGCGGTACCATGGCCGGGGTACCATGGCCGGGGGAGGGGGGCACTGGCAGTGCCATGACTGGGGGGAGGGGCATGAGGCAGGGGTGCCAGGTGTCAGGCACTCCCAGGCCCCGGGCTCTCTCAGCCCCGTACGGCCCCTGGGAGGACCCCCTTCAGCGCGACCCCCCTTGTCGGGGCTTAAGCCGTAGGCCCCTCCGCCTCCTGGAACCGCACCTCTGAGCCTCCAGCAGCCTGGCTTTGCCCTGGACCCCCGATCTCTAGCTGCAGCGACCCCCAGCCGGCGGGTGATAGACGGGCGAGTCGGCGGGGCCGCAGCGTAGAACTGCCGGATGGCTTGCAAAAGCTGGCCTCTCCCCCCGCCCCCACGGCCCCTGCCCTGGACAGACACACGGACAGGGTACAGCAGGCTTCCTTAGCCCAGGACGGACAGGGCTTGTGCCGCCCCCAGGTGCTCCATGGAGGACGGGCAGTGCCCCTGCCGGCCCCACCTCATCGGGCGCCAATGTGACCAGGTGCAACCCGGCTACTTCTGTGCACCCCTGGACTACTACAGCTACGAGGCGGAGCATGCCACAGGCCACGCGCCCACCCACCCCAAGCTGCCGGTGAGTGCGGGCACCAGACGCTGGGCTACTGCAGGTCCCGGGGCTGAGGTGGGGGCAGCACACAGGATCCCGGGGCCAGGGAGGGGAGGGAGGCTGCTCATGGGTCCTGGGACCAAGGGGGGCCAGGGCGCAGGGTCCCAGGGCTGAGGGGAGCACCACGTGGGAGCCCAGGGGGGGCAGCGTGCAGGGTCCCGGGGCCGAGGGGGGGCAGTACGTCGGAGCCCGGGGGGGCAGTGTGCAGGGTCCCAGGGCTGAGGGGAGCACCACGTGGGGGCCCGGGAGGGGCAGCGTGCAGGGGCCCGGGGCCACAGGGCTCAGGACCCCTTCGAGTGCAGTTCCGTGGCTCTGGGGCACAGTCTCTGGTGCCAGGCTGGGGTCTGGGCTGGGGGTTGTGCCCCTCACTGAGCAACAGGACCCAGCACCAGCTACACTGCGCAGCCGGGCGTCAGCGTCCCTCTGGCCAGCCAGAGCCTGCCGCAGTCAGGGGGTCTCCTCGGGCTAATCCCAGTCCCCCTCGGCAACCTCCTGCCCCCTCATCAGTCCCCCCGGCGACTCCCCATCCCCCAGGGGTCCCCCGGCGGTTTGCCAGTCTGACCCTGGCCCGTTGTAGGGAGCGCTGCGCCCCGAGGCCCCCCCGGACTGCCTGGAGCATTCCAGCGGGCTCCCCAACGGGCGGAAGGGGCGTCTGCGGCGCCAGCGCAGCGTCGTGCGGCTCCTGCAGCATCAAGCCCTGCCCCGGCGCAGCCGGCAGCCCCAGCACAAGGTGAGGAGCGGGGGAAGGGGGGGTCTGAAGGAGCAAGGGGGGGATGGGGTAGAGGATTGGGGACAGGAATGGGGGGCGGTGTCACAGTCCCAGCAATTGGGGCTGCCACTGTCTTCTCAAAAACTCCCCGGATCCGGGGTCCGAGGCCAGGCGGCCAGGAGCCCCACCACCAGGCGTAGCCTGCCCAGAGAGCACCCAGGCCTTTCCCCTCCCCAGCACTGCAGCACCTAGGGGAAACTGAGGCAAGTATGGAAAGAATTCCCACGGAGGCAGAACCTGGCAGAGACCTGACCACCGCGCAGGGACAGCTCCCCCCCAGTGGACAGCGCTGACCACGGTGCCCACCTCTTGGGGAGGGGGGCTAGTGAAACGAGGGGAGAGCCCCGTGAAGCCGTGCTGTAGCTGCGCACAGTAGTGTCTGCAGTGGAGACGTAGCCGTAATCCTCCAACCACTGGGCAGCAATGCCGGCTGTAAAGGGAAACTGAGGCACACATAGGATTAATACAAAATACTACCAAAAATTCCCATTTTGTCACACATGGGAGGATAGCAGGAGTGGGGGTAGGGATGGGCTGAGGGTAGTGGGGGGCAGGGATTGGGCGAGGTGGGGGCAAGGGGCAGCGGTGGAGGGGTGGGGACAGGGATGGGCTGAGGGTAGTGGGGGGCAGGGATTGGGCGAGGTGGGGGCAAGGGGCAGTGGTGGAGGGGTGGGGACAGGGATGGGCTGAGGGTAGTGGGGGGGAAAGGATGGGGTGAGGTGGAGGGGTGAGGACAGGGATGGGCTGAGGGTAATGGGGGGAAAGGATGGGGCGAGGTGGGGGCAAGGGGCAGTGGTGGAGGGGTGGGGACAGGGATGGGCTGAGGGTAGTGGGGGGAAAGGATGGGGCAAGGTGGGGCAAGGGGCAGCAGTGGAGGGGCAGGTCACTGACCCAGGTTTCTGCCCCCCAGCCCGACGTGGAAGTGGTGTCCCGGGAGCACGCGGGTCACATGATCACATGGACGGGGCCCGGCTTCGCCCGCGTGCGGGACGGGGCTGGCCTGTCCTTCCACATCGACAACATCCCCTACCCCATGGAGTACGACATCCTGATCCGCTACGAGCCCGAGGTGTGCGGGGCATGGAGGGGGGCTGGGCACCAGGCTGCCCCGGGGCAGGATGCCAACAGGGGAGGGGATGGCTGGGCTCCTGCAGGGCATGTGGGGCTGACAGGGGAGGGGACATCTAGGCACCGGGCTCCCCTGGTGTGGGGCTGATGGGGGAGGGGCTCCCCTGGTGTGTGGGGCCCAGCTCCGAGACCACCTGGCGCAGAGCCCAGGGGCCCACGTCGGGAGCAGGCTGCCCCGAGGAACGCTCCGAGGGCCCGTGCATGCTCTGGTCATCTCCCAGCCCAGGGCTCCTACCCCTGCCAGCACCTGAGCCCCCGCCTGCCCCCCACGTCATCCTTCAGCCTGCCCAGGAGCACGGGCCCGCCCCCTGGCAGTGCCCCTGCCCTCAGGGACCCAGCTGGGGGGCGCCCCCTAACCTCTCTCCCTGCAGTCCACAGAGGACTGGGAGGCCATCGTCAGCGTCAGTGCCCAGGCGTTGCCCACGAGCCCTCGCTGTGGGAATGTGCTGCCCTCGGAGCAGCGATACAAGGAGAGCCTGCCGCACACCGCGAGGTGAGAGCCCACGGGGACTCCTGGCCGGACCCAGGGCCCTGCTTTCTCCTCCGCCCGTCTGGGGACCCTCCGGCGGCGCCAGTGTCCTCGCTGCCAGGCTGCCGGGCCCATGTCCCACGCGCTGCTGCCCGGGCTAGGAGCCAGCCCTGCCAAGGGGGCACACGGCCCGGACCCCAGCCATGCCCTGCACAGCCCAGCCCAGCCCAGCCTGCCCTCTCCCCCCGGGCCCTGTCCCACCCTGGGCTGGTCTCATCCCCCCTACCGCCCCAGGCCCTGTCCCACCCTGGGCTGAGCTCACCCCGCCCCCCCCGGGCCCTGTCCCACCCTGGGCTGGGCTCACCTCCCCGCCCCCCAGGCCCTGTCCAACGCCGGGTGAGCTCACTTTCCCCCCCCCCCCCGGGCCCTGTCCCACCCTGGGCTGGGCTCAGAGCCCCCTGTCACAGCCCCCATTGTTCGCCCCATCGGCCCACCCACACAGCTCGTCCTGCTGCCCCCAGGTACGCCCTGCTGCCCCGGCCCTTCTGCTTTGAGCCCAGTAACCAGTACGAGATCGCCATGCGGCTCCAGCGGGCGGGCGTGGCCCAGCGCCACCTGGCCGCCTTCATCCTCATCGACTCGGTAAGGGCAGGGGCTGCACAGGGGGGGCGCCAGGTCCTGGCCCCGGAGCCCCCGGGTAGCCTCTGCTGGGTGCCTGTGCTGCTTCTCCCCTCACAGCCCCCGCTTCGCCCTGGGCCAGGCATGGGCCGGCTGCCTCCTGCTGGGCAGGGAGATGTCAGGCCAGGCCTGTAGCCAGTCGCCTGGCTTCGCCGAGCAGGGGGTGTCCTTCCAGCAGCTGCTCAGTGCCCCACGGCGCTGCGAGCTGGAGCCCGTGTGCCAGGCCAGCTCCGGCTGGGACAGGAAACCTGCCGGTGCCCTGCCTGAGCTGTGGGGCACTTCCCGCCAGCGGCCACCTGCCCCGGAGTCCCCGGGCGATGCTCTGGAGCTGCTCCCTACGAAGCCGGGCAGGGCTCTGGGGAGCCTCCTCTCTCGGAGCAGACTGTCCACGGGCAAGAAGCTCTCACGGCTTCACCTTCCTGGGTCTGACCTTGGAGCATTCAGCATCTTCTGCCCCTCCGTGCGCTTCCCACAGCGAGTCCGCCCAGGCGGGGTCCTGAGGAAGCCAGAGGGTCCTGCCCCCCAACTCCGCAGTCAGACGTGACTCTTGGCCAGCCGGGAAAACAGAGGTTTATTAGATGACAGGAACACGGTCTAAAACAGAGCTTGTAGGTACAGCGGCGAATGGGACCCCTCGGCCGGGTCCATTATGGGGTTGAGAGAGCCAGAAACCCACGTCTGTCCTCACTCCTAGTCCCCAGGTAGCTCCAACTCTGAAACCCCCTCCAGCCCCTCCTTCTCCCGGCTTTGTCTCTTTCCTGGGCCAGGAGGTCACCTGATCTCTTTGTTCACCTTTAGCTATTTCCTTGCAGGGGGGGGAAGGGGCCCTGGCCATTTGTTGCCAAGGAGACAGAGTGTCAGTGATTTATGTACACTGGCCTTTCCCCGCCACCTAGAGACTTAAGAAATGCATAGGGGAAACTGAGGCACCTACACAGTATTCAGAGGAAACATTAAGAACAGTCCCACTTCATCACACACCCCTGCTTCCCCCAATGCAGCCGGTCCAGTGCCCCCCTGCTCCCCCCAGTGCAGCCTGTCCAGTGCCCCCCTGCTTCCCCCAATACAGCCTGTCCAGTGCCCCCTGCTTCCCCCAATACAGCCTGTCCAGTGCCCCCCTGCTTCCCCCAGTGCAGCCTGTCTAGCCCAGCCTAGCCTGCTCCCTGCCCCCCACATTCCTGGCCTGGCCCAGCCTGCTGCCCCCCAACCCATGCCCCACAGGCAGGGCCCCACGTTTGCGCTCATGCTTCTCCCTTCCCAGCTGGTTCTTCTGCCGCGAGTGTTGGAGCTACCGGCTTTCCATGGCCGCGACCCGGCGGCGGAGCAGCACCGCGAGGAGCTGGAGCGCTACCAGTGCCAGGAGGCGTTTCGCATGGCGACCATGCCAGCGCTGGCTGAGATGTGTGCCCGCCTGCTCTGCAGCATCTCGGCCCTGCTGCACGATGGGGCCCTGGGTGAGTGCTGGCGAGGGGGAGCGGAGGGGGGCCGAGTGAGTGCTGGCTGG